TGCCAAAGCAAGGACAGGTCATCTACAGAAGTTTGTTAGTTGGACATGGCCAGAAATGTGCAATCCAAGTGAAAGCAGCACTTTTTTTTATTTTTCTTAAATATTGAATAGAAGCTATAAGCAAACAAACATACTACTCCATGCGCAAAATAACTAATGCAACCTGTTTTACTGTGGATTTTCTTCCTAGATCCTCTCTCTCCACATACACTGCTCAGCACTTTACCTTTTACAAATCACCTGTGTTCTCCAGCAACTTCCAGTTCTGTGCACACATCCTGGGCTCCCTTCTTCCCCTGCTACGCTAGCTGCCATGCCTGTCACAATGTGGATCCAGCCAGGGATCAGGCAGAACGAAGTACTGAACTCTCACACTTCCCTTTCCCTTAGAGGGGGAGGCTGGATCTTCTTTGGTCTGCATTGTTGACAAAATTTAAGTGAGCCAAGAGACTGTGAAGTCAAGAGGCATATGACTGACATCATGCCAACTTTTTCCTTAGGAATCAAAAGGAAAAAGATACAGCAAATACAAACAGTTGGTTACGTTCAAGGAACTAGTTTTCTCAGGAGTTCATAGTATAAAAAATTGGGGGAGTTTTCCAGCAAGATGTAACGCGTGCCATAAACAAGGTCTTACTAGGAAACTCCTCATATAATGAATTATGAATCTGATTAGGAATTCTTCATCAGTTAGGAATCAAATCTGTCAATTATCAATCTCCACAATTAGTCTCATCATATAAAACAACGGACATGTAGCCAACTCACAAGGAACCCTAGCAGCTCCACAGACCAATTACACTCATTCACAGGAAGGAGGCAGGCAGTTCTGGCTCCCACTGACTCAGGCTGTCGTCATCATTGTGTCCCTCCCCTTGGTGATGTCTTGTTCTTCAGAGTTAGGGTTGTAGAGACAGATTCTCAGGTAATTTGACAACCTACAATCTTGACTATAAACACAATTACACAGAATTTTGCACAAAGTTTTGCCAATACCCAGCTTTTCTTCAGCAGCTGCTCTCTTAATCTTCAGTAATTTCTGGAAACGTTCTTGCAAGCCGATGACTTCTGATCTGTGACCTTGAAGCAAGCTGTGAAAGCAACATGTAAGGAAAACACATACATATAGATCTCTTCACAGCACAGTGCTCTCATCTGCCTATTGTACTACTAATGGTTCTGATTACACAATGGGGGGGCAGCTCAATGCTGCACTTCAGTTTGGCTATGTGTTCCCTTTCTGTCAGTTCCTAATGACTTGGTTGGGATGAACAGCATTTAGCAGTCCTTTAACTAGGAAGTTTTCTTTGTTAGCTTGAAATGCATGAGAACTTGTGAGGTAAGTTGAGCCACCAGCAAAATGAAACAGAAACAGGTTGTGATTTGACCATGGTAGGCAGCTCAGCCCAACACAGCCACTTGCTCACTCCCCCCCCGGTGGGATGGGGGAGAGCGTAGGAAGCATAAAAGTGAGAAAACTCATGGATTGAGATAAAAACCATTTAATAGGTAAAGCAGAAGCCATGCACACAAGCAAAGCAAACCGAGGAATTCATTCACGACTTCCCATCGGCAGGCAGGTGTTCAGCCGTCTCCAGGAATGCAGGGCTCCATCACGCGTAACGGTTCCTTGGGAAGACAAACGCCATCACTCTGAATGTCCCCCCCACCCTTCTTCCCCCAGCTTTACATGCTGAGCATGATGTCATATGGTATGGAATATCCCTTTGGTCAGTTGGGGTCAGCTGCCCCGGCTGTGTCCCCTCCCAGCTTCTTGTGCACCCCCAGCCTACTCGCTGGTGGGGTGGGGTGAGGAGCAGAAAAGGCCTTGACTCTGTGTCAGCACTGCTCAGCAATAATGAAAACACCCCTGTGTTATCAACACTGTTTCCAGCACAAATCCAAAACACAGCCCCATACCAGCTACTATGAAGAAAATGAACTCTACCCCAGCCAAAACCAGTATACAGGTTTTCTGTCTTTCCAATTCATTTGAAAGTTTCTGCTAAAAGGACAGCTTCTCTTGGGTTATCCAAACCTACGCACCGAGAGCTCAACTGCAAGAGTTACAGATCTTTTCAAGTGGAGACTCCAACCCACACAAAAGGCCTTATTTGTATTCACTTCTGCATTGTATAAAATGGTATTTAAAGGCCCTCGCTCCTGGGAGACTGTCAAAAAAATCTTTCTTTTAGCAGTGTGACCAACTAAAAGGAAAACAAGAAAGGAGCTCAAGGCATTTCTAAGTCTCATCAGTGCCGAATCACTCTGGAATTTCTTTTCAGAACTGCCAATGTGCTACTGATTTAGGTGGCTTAATACACCTATTTTCTCCAGGAAGCTCTTGCATCTTCCTCAGGCATGCCTGAGCTCTTGTGGTTAGTTCTAGCTCTTTTCCTGCAGCTTTGAAGGGGTTACAACTCTCTTCCCTTACTACATCCAAAGTGCTGGAGAACAAGTGGGAAAAAAAAACCCTCCCCAAACTCTTACACTCTTACTTAGAGTGTCCACTCTTACAAAGCAGCAGCCAGCTGTACTCCTCAGGCTCGGGCATTTCAGGACAGCTGAGATCTCGAGTTCAACAGGAACTTGTATACTGACATTAATTTTCTTTTCATATGCACCATGAACAGCTTTGATGCAGAGAGAGCACGTAGCCAGAAATCCCAACTCTATCAGTATCCAACGTTCCTCTGGTGCCATTTAGCTGCCTATGGACAGAATGCTTCTCCACTGTGGGGGACACTTGTGTAATGTCATTAGTTAAGCTGGTAACACAGGCCTTTGTTCTGAGGACATGCAAATACAAATGCAAACGTGTTAAGTACTCATGTGCATAAATACAATGAATATCAGGAAACAGTGTAAGCTACCCACTTACTAGTGAAGGAATCTTGGTCAACGTCTCTTGCAACCCAGATGCTGGTGTTCCAGCTTGCAGCTCGATCCTGCCTAACCATTTATAGATGTAACAGTTACAGAGAACAGTGGGAAGATAGTGTCTCCTCAAAATGTCCAGCTCATAAGCTTCAGCATATGAAAAGTTGAGCTGAAAAGTCAACTTCAGTCTGACAAGAGCGCAAGCCCTTCTTCTCATGTCGGAAAAATAAGAAAGCTAAATAAACACAGGATACTTACCATAGAATAACGGTGGTTCTCGGGTCTTTGAGATGTCATGCACACATACTAGAGGAACCACCGTCAGTAACTGTTAGACTAATTCAAGTAAGAATCTGTTAACTGCAAATCAACCTTGTTCCCATTCTGTACCACTGAAGGAACTGAGTGTTTTGGGGAAAATGATCAGAACCTTCCAGCCTGAAATATGAGTGCAGGGGCTTGCGCTGAAGGTGGTATGCACAGCCCCAGGCTGACACAACTGGCAAGAATTTGGCACCTCTGTGCCAAAAGAACTTGAGCGAGACCTATGCAAATGGAGTACTCTTCAAGGGTAAGTAGCTTGGTTTCAAGCTCTACCCCCATTTTATCAGAAATAGAGGGCTGACATAACATGTCAGATGGAAAAACAACGGTGGTGTTAGACAACAATGTTGTCTAGCACTATAATGCTAGAGGAACATATTAGCTGCTGTAAAATAACAGGAGGAAAAAAACCCAAAACAACACACACACAAAAACCCCCAAAGTACCAGAGAACGTGAATGCATTCATTTAAAGTGAGGCTCACATTCAAATATTCTCTCTAGAGGCTGATGAGCTATTCTTAATTTGTGAAGTTTTTCATTCTCAAGTAAAAGGCTTTTCAAACTGCAGCAGAAGGTACTCTGTAAGCGTTCCGTTCTAGATTTACACATCGCACATTTACTGTGCAAAGTCAGACCGCAGCTTGTACTGCACATCTGCCACCTTTAACTGCTTGGGTATAAACACAACAGCAAACAGCCCAGCCCAGCCCGATGAAGTTTTTAAATTAATTTCTCAGCTTTTACAGCCACCACTTGTGCAGATACCAACTCACTAAGCTCATGTACAGTATAACAATCACTAAATTTTAGCCCCCAAAAGGCATAATTTTACATTTATTATAGAACACTAGTATAGAAGATGACACCTGGAACAAACCACAGAAGATGACCAATATACTGAAAAATGGCATGTTACACGTTTATTATCAAATTTACATTCCACTATGAAACAACAGTAAGTGCAAAAAGCAGATGAAAAAAATACCATGAAGCTCCCAGACCGT